GCTGCAGCTCTCCAGGCTCCCACGCCGTCCGCTGCAGCTCTCCAGGCTCCCACGCCGTCCGCTGCAGCTCTCCAGGCTACCACGCCGTCCGCTGCAGCTCTCCAGGCTTCCACGCCGTCCGCTGCAGCTCTCCAGGATCCCACGCCGTCCGCTGCAGCTCTCCAGGCTTCCACGCCATCCGCTGCAGCTTTCCAGGCTCCCACGCTGTCCGCTGCAGCTCTCCAGGCTCCTACGCCGCATGCTGCAACTTCCCAGGTCTCTCCGTTGCATGCTGCAGCTCCCCATGTCTCTCCGTCGCATGCTGCAGCTCCCCAGGTCTCCTTGACGCAAGCCGCGTTCCCTCTGTTTCTGTGTTTCGGACGGCCTCCCGGCCGCCCCCCTGACCTGGCCCGGTTTTATGGACAGCCTCCCGGCCGCCCGCCGGAACAATGACTCTTAGGGACGATCCCTTGACCCTCCAAATCCCTTGTGTGCCCTCGTGTTTTTTCTCTGGTCCTCATGTTTTTTCTCTGGTCCTCGTGTTTTTTCTCTGGTCCTCGCGTTTTCCTCGGGCCCTCCACCCTTGCAGTGCCGCCCTCCACCCGCCCAAGTCCTTCGGGAGGGGTTTTTTTTGGGGACGCCTGGAGGCGTCCTTGGGGGGGGGGGGGGGTACTGTAGGGATGGTACTTTTCTGTGGCCCGGTTTGTGTCTGTGTTCCCTCGTGCTCCCTCATTAGTTCCATTGTTGCCACCCATGTCTCGTCCCAGCTGTTCGTTATCACGTCTCGTCTCTGTATATAAGCCATCGGTTCTGTCTTGTTCGTTGTCGCGTCGTATTCGTTGGGTCTCCTGTGTCTTCCCCTGAGTCTTCCTGGTTCCTCGAGTCCCCCGTGTCCCCTGAGTCCTCCTGAGTTTCCCGTGCCTCCTTCCTATGTTCATGTAAGTTTTGCTGCCCCGTCAGCTTGTTATTTTGTACTTTCATTTATCATTAAATTCCTATTTTTGTATTTCTGCCAAGTTGAGTCCCTGTTCTGCACTCTGGGTTTGCTCCTGACCACAAATCCTAACACCTAGAGAGACTCATGTTGGCCCAACTGACTAATCAAACAAGCACATATCAGGACCCACTGCAGTTTGCTTATCAACGTGGACTTGGAGTGAAGATGCCATCATACACCTGCTTCAGCAAACTCACTGTCATCTAGAAAAGGCAGACCGCACTGTGACAGTCATGTTCTTTGATTTCTCCAGTGCATTTAACACAATCCAGCCTGATTTGCTTTGTCAGAAACTCCAGAAGACTCAGATGGAGGCTTCAACAATCACCTGGATCAAAGACTACCTGACAAACAGACCACAGTTTGTGAGACTGAAGGGTTGTGTGTCTAACCAGGTGGTCAGTAGCTTAGGAGCACCACATGGAACTGTACTCTCACCATTGCTTTTCACTCTGTACACCTCAGATTTCCAGTACAAAACAGATTCCTGTCATCTGAAGAAATATCCAGATGACTCTGCAGTGGTCAGGTTTATCAGAGATGGACAAGAAGCTGAGTACAGGGAACTGGTGGACCACTTTTTGGCATGGTGTGGAAACAATAATCTCATCTTGAATGTGAACAAAACAAAGGAGATGATTGTAGATTTCAGGAGAAACAGGAACAGGTCTAAGCCTATTTCCATCACGGGAGAAGAAGTGGAGGTGGTGGAGAAATATAAATACCTTGGGGTTCATCTGGACAACAGACTGGACTGGAAATGCAACAGTGAAGCCATCTACAAGAAGGGACAGAACAGACTATACCTCTTGAGGAAGCTGAAGTCCTTCAGTGTTTGCAGCAAGATGCTGCATATCTTCTATAAGTCTGTTGTAGAGAGTGCCATCTTTTCTGCCATCATCTGCTGGGGTAGCAGCACCAGAGCAAGTGACCAAAAGGATCAACAAGCTCATAAGGAAGGATGGCTCAGTTCTGGGGACTCCTATAGAAACTTTGGAGATGATTGTACAAAGAAGGATTCTTCATAAAATGAAGAACTTTATAGACAACCCTCAGCATCCTCTTCATCAGACTGTCATACAACAATAATGTCTTCAGTCAGAGGCTTCTTCAGATCTGCTGTAAGACAGACGCTACAAGAGATCCTTTCTGCCCACAGCATCAGCATCTATAACAACTCTTTAATGAATCCAGGATGATGAGTTGCAACAACATTTAATTTACCTTTGGGATTAATAAAGTATTTTTTAATTAAATCGAATTCAGCATGTGACTGCTGGTGGAATCGAACCCCCTGCTCTCGCATTAGAGGACAACTGCTCTAACCACTCAGCTGCACCAAAAATGAATGGAAGAATGGATGGATGGAAGGATGGTTTTATGAGAGGATGATGGAACTTGTCACCACAGTAGTGTCAATCTATTTAATTAAAGAGTTTTATCTCTGAAGTCCTAAAATGTCTCAGCTGAGTCTATAAAGCTGAAGTTGTGTTGTCTCCATGACGCAAGAATCCAGTTTACCTGGTAAATGCTGCCACTCCTGGTGTCCTTCAGGTCCAGTCTGATTGCAATGTAATCCACATCTGGAGATGGGGGATCCATGTGCTGATACTTTAACCCCATCAGCAAAAAGTCCTCACAGGAAATTTTGGAGAACTTGACAAGTTTCAGTCCCTTCAGGCAGTCCTCGGACTTACACATGGCCCTGGCCTTATTATCTAAAAATGAGAACACAATGCAGGGAAACCACCAGGTGGACATCACTTTTCATGTATTTCATATTCTGTTGGATATTCAGATAAAGTCTGATCAGCTTCCTGTTTGTCTATACAGTAGTCCCTCGCTACTTTGCAGTTTGTTTTTCGCGGATTTGCTGTATCACGGTTTTTCAAAGTAAGATTGGACATGACACAGTTGACTGATAGATGGATGTGCCATGGGTTGTTTATTTAAAATACATTTTTAAAAATGATTTGCACCATGTGTGCAGCCCACAAGTGCAAGATAAGCTCCCTCCTGCAGCTGATCAGCTGATCTCCTTCTCTGCCACGCACACACATTTCTCCTGATTCATCAGCTTCATGAAGGGTTAACTCTTTGCTGTCCAGATGCATCGATCGACTTTTGTCTTCCAACTTAAAATTCAAAGTATGTCACATTGTAAGATCGTCATAATCACAAAATATAAAAGTGTTGAAAGTTATTTTTAATTATTTTAGAACTTGTTCAGTTGTTTCAGTGTAATTGATCAAGAAGTACATTTCTGCTCCGTGCTGCAGAGCTGAAGCAGTGTGACATCCCGTTGATGTCCTGCTGCACTTCTCTACAATTTAAATTTAAATACTGTAATATTTTAAATGAACAATCCATGCTGCATGGATTGTTCATTTAAAATGTTACAGTATTTAAATTTAAACTGTTTATTTAAGGAGGGAGATTGGGAGTAACAGGTGATGAGTGATGTGATTACAGCCTGGCACGTTATGACAAAGTTTACTGAACTTGAACTCAACTTGAACTTGGACTGCTGTATCCCTGCTTCGCGATTTTTCACTTATCGCGGGGGGACGTGGTTCCTAAAACCCACGATAAATGAGGGGTTACTGTATTTACAACCAGTTAAACTACAGCTCTGTAATGTTGAAACTTTACAGGTGATTATCACTAGTTACCTAGTTGCTGACGCAGATAAATAAAACTCTCTGGCTCATCTCCTCTTTTAGAAGCTTTGTCTGGTTCGCCTGTGACCAGTTGACCATGGGCAGGCAGGTGGGAATCATGGTGACTGAGGTGGATACTGCATTTCAGAGTAGATCTCCTCTCATAGTGAAAGGACACCACATTACCATCAATGGCATCTGAGAGTCCATAAAACTCAGGGACCTCAAGTGATTTGGGCCCAAGCCTAATGATGCTGCATTCAGGCTCCATGATGTCCACATGGAGAGAAAAGTCCTCTATAGATGTATCCGTCTCTGTGAACCTGGTCAGCAACAAATAATGACATGAACACAGACCTTTTTCAAAAAGCAAATACCAACCATGCACACATCAATGCAACTAATGACCAGAGCATTTAAAATACGTTATTTAACAAATAAATTGGTGGAGTACCTGTAAAGACGAAGTTTGACCATATCTTCCTTCAGTAATGGACAGCCATTGTGGACATACTTGATCTCATCAGACAGGAAATGGCAATCAAATACCTACAAAAACAAAAACGTCAAGATTATTCAAGATGGCTGCCACAGAAAACCAGCTAAGGCAATCAAAAATGGCTATAATTCAGTCAATTCTTAAGAATTTTTTTCTTCTTCTTTCAGCTGTTCCCTTCTTCAGGGGTCACCACAGCAAACTAACTCGCACCAAGACATGGCAATAATTTTTACGCCGGATGTCCTTCCTGACACAACCACAGACCACCGAGCTACCACAGTCCTCTGTGTGGAGCAGAGAGCTGCTATCTATGGTGCCCGGGGGAGCAGATGATGGGGCTTAAGGGCCTTGTTCAAGAGTCCAGGGTGGAGCAAATGAGGGTGGAGTCAGTTCTTCAGATATTAAGTTAAAATTTGGAGAGGTAGTGACTGAAAGTCGTTCCAAATACACACTTTCAAGCTTTTAACTCATGGTGTCATTTGTTCCTCATTGCAGAGCAAAGAGGGAGAATTAGAAATACCCTCCCTCCGTCCATGTTGTGAGCAAGATAACTTGAAAAATAAAGTGAGGTACTGACTTCCATTTTGGAGTGTGGCTACATCCAGGCAAAAAATATTTCCTTTCCAAAATGGGGTTGCCACCTCAAAATGTCAGATGGCCACCACTATATTTCACAGCCACACAAAAAAAAGAGGTACAGCAACCGAAATTTCAAAGTGACCTGGGGGTAACAGCTGTTACTGTCGGTCGAGCAACATACATACTTGAATGTAAGTCTGGTATATGCAAAAGGCAATAGGTAGCTAGCAGGTAGCTAAATGTAGACACCACACACCTAATATCTACATGGAAATGTAGCAACTGTTAGATTTAATGAGTCTGCTGGCTTCCTTAGATAGAGAACTTTACTAATTGGCCTTTCTATGTACAGTATGTGAATGTTTCTGTAAAGTGCCCTGAGACAACTTTGTTGTGAATTGGTGCTATGTAAATAAACTGAATTGAATTGAATATCTCTTGAATTTAAATATTTTGCCGTTTGTAGCTAGAGTTATGTAGCTTAAAGTTTTATATTACTTTACCATCTTTACCATCTTACACTTCCGGTAAGATGGTGCCCGTGTACATGGCTTGCAATCCACCTCTGCTGATGGTGTTCGGATTATTCATGTTTTCTTCTTTTTTTATCTGGGACATAAACTCGCTGCTGGTGTATGACCGACAACAGCTTCTGAATCTTTGTTTTTCTGCCCCCGATGTCACTTATTTGGGCGAATATGAGTGCACTTCTGGACCCCCCCCCCCTCCCCCCCTGCTGGCAGACGTGCCAGCTTACCTCTGCTGCGCTCCTCACCTCCCTGCCCGGAGACATCGCTACAGATGCCGGGGAAAATGTGCTGGGTGGCTGGTAAAACTTAAAGCCGTGCGCGCTGCATCTTCCTCTTCAGCTGGTGGTCATGGTTTCCATCGCCAGCTTCCCACGTGCCCAGACCAGGTAAACAACGGGAGTTGTCAGCCGGTGCGCAGCTCGGACCGACCCGGAGGGGCTGTTATTGAAAACCTTAGGCCACTGATGCACGCGAACTTCACCACTGCTGGTTCCACTTCGGACAGTATCCGGATGTGTTTGATCAAAGCAAGATCTGTTACCAACAAAACTTTTATCCTCAGGGACTACTTCCAAGAGCTCGAGTTGGACTTTTTCTGCATCACAGAGACTTGGAAGTCTCCGGGTGAGTCCAGCGCCTTGACAAAATTATTGCCAGCAAACTGTCTGTATTTTAACGCCCCGCGGCCATCAGGCCGGCGCGGTGGTGGATTATTAACAATATTCAAATCAACTTTTGACTGTAAGCAACTGCCCATCCCAGTTTCCCATGCCAGCTTTGAGCTAAGCGTCTTTGAACTCGGCCACTCGCCTCCAATGTTATTTGCACTCGTCTACCGCCCACCTCGATCTAAGGATTTCATAAATGAGTTTTCTGGTTTCTTGGCTGAAATCACACCAAAATATAATCATGTTTTCATTATTGGGGACTTTAATTTGCATGTGTGCTGTCAGGAGAAGCCCTTGGTTAAGGACTTTTTAGATTTATTGGTCTCGTTTAATTTAACTCAGCATGTAAACGGTCCCACCCAAGAGTGCGGACATACACTGGACCTTGTTTTAACTCGTAATGTGACTGTTAGTAATCTTGAAATTGGTGATAATGTTTTTTCAGACCACATGCCAGTCCGGTTTGAGTTCGCCCTCCCCCATCTAACTCCTAAGCCGTGTGTTCCTGCATGTAGTAGCCGGGCCATTAACCATCTCACTGCTGCACGTTTCACAGATGTTTATAACTCTGAAATGATAATTCAGGCATCAGTGTTTTTCACCACCACTGAGGAGCTGACATCCCAGTTCAACTCTGTCTGCTTAAAGACTCTGGATCATGTTGCGCCTGTTAAAACCAAAAAATCAAAACTCAGAGCAGAACCTTGGCTGAGTGACGTCACCAAGGCTGCTAGGCAGCAATGTAGGAGGGCGGAACGAAAGTGGAGGAAAGACAGGCTGCAGGTCTCTTTCCAGATACTTAAAGAGAGTTTGGCGCTGTTATAAGAAAACAGTAAAAGCTACTAAATCAAAATTCTTCTGTGATATATCCTGATGCATGCTCAATAATCCAGGTAGAAAAATCCAAAAAAGTTCAATCTGGTCCTCTGGACGTTCAAAAAAACAAAAAGCAAAACAAAGCAAAAAAAAATCTAGAAACGTTTTGTCTCTCATCCAAGAGACTTCCTCAGTCTGAGGTGCTGTTTTCAGCTCAGTCTCTTAAATAGCACCTTCTCAGAGTGGATCAACCAGTTTGCTGCTGACAACCAAAACCAGCTGATCACATGCTCAAGAAGGACCATCAGCCTAACAATGGGTCATTAGCACACTGATGGCTGTTTACTACTCACAGAGGGCTGAGTGATACTAGCAATCACAGCATTGTAAGAGGGGGACAGTTGAACCCGGAGGCCTCCACCCCTGTTTAACGATGGACGGTGTCTTTTCACAAAGATGGCCTCAGTCTCTGATAGAGGACATTTGCAAACCGAGGTGTATCGCAAACCCACCCACACAGACCAGTATTTGCAGTTTGACTCCCATCACCCTTTGGAGCACAAGTTAGGAGTCATCAGGACTCTGTATCACAGAGCAGACAGCATCCCCACTAGCTTGGGAGCCAGGCAGAAGGAGAAATCCTACACAAAACAGGCTCTAGAGCAATGTGGATATCCTAACTGGGCCTTCCTGAAAGCAGAGAAGAAACCCAAACAGGACTCCAGTCAACCATCAGGTGAAAAGGAGGAACCCAGACCCAGACCAGTGGTCATTCCGTATGTTGAGGGGGTATCAGAGAAACTGAGACGTTTATTTTCTAAACATAACGTCCCAGTGGCTTTTAAACCCCAAAATACATTACGGCAAAGACTGGTTCATCCCAAAGATCCAGTCCCCCAGCACAAACAGAGTAATGTTGTGTATGCTGTTCAGTGTCAGGAGGGCTGTGATCAGTCTTACAGCGGGGAAACTAAACAGCCACTGGCCAAAAGGATGGCCCAGCACAGAAGATCAACATCATCAGGCCAGGATTCTGCGGTCTACACTCATCTCCAGGCCAGCGGTCACTCTTTCAAGGATGAAGATGTTCACATCCTGGACAGAGAGGAACAATGGTTTGAGAGAGGAGTAAAGGAGGCCATCTTTGTGAAAAGACATCGTCCATCGTTAAAGAGGGGTGGAGGCCTCCGGGTTCAACTGTCCCCCTCTTACAATGCTGTGATTGCTAGTATCACTCAGCCCTCTGTGAGTAGTAAACAGCCATCAGTGTGCTAATGACTCATTGTTAGGCTGATGGTCCTTCTTGAGCATGTGATCAGCTGGTTTTGGTTGTCAGCAGCAAACTGGTTGATCCACTCTGAGAAGGTGCTATTTAAGAGACTGAGCTGAAAACAGCACCTCAGACTGAGGAAGTCTCTTGGATGAGAGACAAAACGTTTCTAGATTTTTTTTTGCTTTGTTTTGCTTTTTGTTTTTTTGAATGTCCAGAGGACCAGATTGAACTTTTTTGGATCTTCTCTGATATAATTACCTCGAACTCTCACAACCCACGTGTCCTCTTCTCCACCCTAAACTTTGTTCTCCACCTCACTGAACCATCACCTCTGGAAGCCTCGACTGAGCTGTGCGAGAACTTCTTACATTTCTTTTTGGAAAAAATTGCGACCACTCGGGCTCTCATTTCCCCTCTAACTCATTACCCATCCATCCCACCTCTATCTGTAGCTCTATTTGACCATTTTGAAACCATCACTCTATTGTCTCTAGAGCAGGTCATGTGCAGCTTGAAACATTCTGGTTCCCCCTTTGATGTGGTCACCCCTCGAATACTAAAGGAGGTTTTTCCTACTCTAGGTCCATCCATTCTTGCCATTGTAAACAGTAGTTTATCCACTGGCGTGGTGCCAAAAACCTTTAAACATGCTGCTGTCCAGCCTCCTGAAAAAAAACAAACCATGACCCCTCAGTCGTTTCCAACTACCGGCCTGTCTCCAAACTCCCATTTGTTTAAAAAATACTGGAGAAAATAGTCGAGTCCCAGTTGAAGTGCTTCCTGGAGGGCCACGCCATCTTAGAGCTTTTCCAATCTGTCTTTAAACCTCTCCATAGCACTGAAACTGCCCTGCTCAAGGTCTTTAATGACATTTTCTTAACCACTGATACCGGTGATTCTGTGCTGCTTGTCCTATTGGACCTCACAGCTGCCTTTGACACCATCGACCACGAGATCCTCATTGCTAGGTTGGAGCAGTGGGTGGGCATCACAGGGTCAGCCCTCAATTGGTTCAGATCTTACCTCGATGACAGATCCCTTTGTGTCTCCATCAAGGAGTTTAGTTCTGCAGCGGCAGAGCTTAAATGGGGGGTTCCGCAGGGGTCCATCCTGGGTCCCCTCCAATTCTCTTTATACCTGCTGCTGCTTGGTGCTATTTTCAGGAAACACAACATGCCCTTCCACTTCTACGCCGATGACTGTCAAATTTACTTCCCACTAAGACACAATGGCACATGCTCTATTCAACCTCTGCTCGACTGCCTGGCTGACATCAGGGACTGGATGGCTTTAAATTTCTTAAGTTTCAATGAAAAGAAGTCTGAAGTCATGTTGTTCCCTCCCAACGACACAATCACATACCACTGTATCGACCTCTCTGCTCTAACCCTGTCAGAAAAACAAAGAGTCACTATTCTGGGAGTGATAATGGACCCTTCCCTGAAACTTAACAGTCACGTAAACATGATTGTTAAATCATGTTTCTTCCAACTGAGGCAGCTGTCTAAACTGAAGCCCATATTGTCCAAAAATAAACTGGAGACAGTAATACATGCATTTACTACATCTAGGCTTGATTACTGCAATTCACTCCTGTTTGGTATCAGTCAGACCTCCACTGCACGACTACAACTTGTCCAGAATGCAGCAGCTCGATTTTTAACCAGTACAGGCAAAAGAGAGCACATTACACCAGTTTTGGCCTCACTGCACTGGCTACCGGTTCACCTTCGAATCCAGTTCAAAATACTTCTGTATGTCTACAAATCGCTGAACAGTTTCGCCCCCCCATCTCACTGATCTGCTACAACCGTATGTCCCCCCACGTTCCCTGAGGTCAGCGGACCAGTTGCTCCTCACAGTTCCAGGAACTCGTCTTAAGTGTAGAGGGGACAGGGCCTTCTCTGTAGCAGGACCAAGACTTTGGAACGAGTTACCTCTGCTTGTCAGACTGGCCCCCTCCCTCTCGGTTTTCAAGTCCCGTTTAAAAATCCACTACTATTCGGTGGCTTTCAACACCAGATGATCTGTGTTTGAACCTGTATGCTCCCCACTGGTTAGTCGTGTAGTGAACTAAGCCTCAGGTCAAGTCCTGACCCTGAGGGCCTTCCTGGGACAAGAACTGTTATTTCATTGATTTGAGTCCAGAAACACAAAATTAAGTTCATCCAAAGACTTTCTAAGTGTGTCCTGCACTGATCAATTGAAAGAACACTCTCCTTTTTATTATCATTACTATTTTACAATGTCTTGATAATCAAAAGTGTGTTTAGTTCAAACCATTTTAAATGTTGAAGTGAACTACTCATTTTAAATCAACTGTGAAACAGTATTAATGATTTTTAATCCTCATTCAAAGTAGAAATCAAGTTAATGTCGGTTACAAGAGTAATGATGCATTTTTGATTCTCTGTCTGAAATGAGAAGGAGTAAGTAGGTCAAAAGTCAAGTTTCGGTCAAAAACATGTTTACTGGAAAGTGTAGATGAACATATTCTGTGATATAT